TGGGAGATGTTTGGGTCTGGAGCATCAATTTTTCCTTTGAGGTGTTTGGTTTCTTGGTTGTTTGATGGCTTTTGGGTCTTAACAGAAGATTATTTTGTGACCTTTGATTTCTGCCAGTTGTGTTTGGATGAAACCTGGAATTCAGGCTCGTGGGAAAACCCACGTCCCTGCTTTTAGTTACAAAACCCCAAACTCGGTGGCTTCACTCTGCATTCCAGCCTCGGGAGGGGATGTGCAAGGGAAGGGGGTGGTTTGTTAGAATTCCAGGAGCTTCCAAAATCCCCAGGGTTCTTCCACAGGCTGAGAATTCCCTGAATGTCCCAAACCCTCTGTGGCTGAGGTTTGTCTGCAGGGCCTTCCCAGCCCTTCTGGGTGGAAGGGGCTCTGTTTTCCTGGGATAAAGAACAGATTCTTTGGCTGCAGCCAGGCCCAGGGTGACCAAAACTCCACATTTCTGCACAATGACCAGAACCAGTGGCACGTGGGGTGGGGGAAATGCCAAACTGGTCCCATTTTGGGGATTGCTGGGAGGTCTGGATGAGCGGGAAGATGGAGCTGAGCAGGACAGGGAACATCCGTGTCCCCTCTGGGATTGAAAGGTGTCAGGGTTTTGAGGATCTCCAGAAGATCTGGAGAAGGGCTTTGGACAGGGGCTTGGAGTGACAGGACACAGGGAATGGCTTCCCACTGGAAAAGGGGATATTTGGGAGGGATATTGGGAAGGAATTCCTCCCGAGGAGGGTGGGCAGCCCTGGCACAGGGTGCCCAGAGCAGCTGTGGCTGCCCCTGTATCCCTGGAAGTGCCCAAGGCCAGGTTGGACAGGGCTGGGAGCACCCTGGGACAGTGGAAGCTGTCCCTGCACATGGAAAGGGGGTGGAATTTTGGGATTTAAGGTTCCCTTCCCACCCAAACCTTTCCAGAATTCCGTGATTAATCTGTTTTGCTCAGGCTGATTGCAGAGCAGGAGGTGTTGGGGGTGGATCCCAACAGATTTCCCTGGGATTTCAATAATCCTGAGGGTCTCCAGTAGCCATGGAGTTCCTCACATCCATCAGCTCGTTGATGACCTGGGTAACCTCACCTGAACCCAGGGGCATCCCGGGATGTCACACTTGGAGTATCCTGGTGCCTGCTGGAGCAGAAATATGGATGTAATGTTTATGCTGTGGAATCGTGGAATTGTTGGGGTTTTAAATCCCTCCAGGGCTGGGGACTCCACTGCTGCCCTGGGCTGCAGAGCTCTTCCCAGGAGGAATTTTCCCAATATTCAATCTAAACCTCCCCTGGCACAACCTGAGGCTGTTTTCTCTCGTGGATAATGCCAATCCCACCAGGAACAGCAGGGAGGCCACCATGAGGGGATGGCACAACAACTTCTCTCTGCTCCTGGGCACAGAATTCCCAGGCTGGAAAACCATGGGAATGCTGATAAAATGGGAAAAGATGGAGCACGAGTTGGTTAAGGCTGAACGACAGTGCTGCTGTTGTGCTTTTTTTCCCCTCCAAGGCTTATAAAAGGGGATAAATCAGCTTTGTGAGTGACCACCAGTGGCTGTGCCACGCTTTGTTTGCGTCTCTTATTGAGGAGCGGAAGGAATTACCCAAAATAAAAAGAGCTGGAGGAGGCGAGCGGGGCGGGAGGGTGAGGAACCATCCTGATCTCCACGCCACCTCGCTGAGCCTCTCTCTTTTTCCCCTTTTGTCAGGCCTCCAGCACGGGCAGGATGAGCTCCGAGGGTGGCACCAAGCCCCTCAAGGTGGGCTCCCGCGTGGAGGTCATCGGCAAGGGCCACCGCGGCACCGTGGCCTACGTGGGGGCCACCCTGTTCGCCACCGGCAAATGGGTCGGGGTCATCCTGGACGAGGCCAAGGGCAAGAACGACGGCACGGTGCAGGGCAGGAGGTACTTCACCTGCGAGGAGAACCACGGCATCTTCGTCAGGCAGTCCCAGGTGGGTGGCATCCTGGCATCCTGGGCATCCTCAGCATCCTCGGGGTCGTGGTTTGGTTGTTAAATGTACAGTGAAACAAGCCTGGGGGTTTTGGGATTCTCCATCTCCCACAGAGG